TAAAGATTTTATTTATTTATTTGAGAGAGAGAGAGAATGAGAGATAGCACATGAGAGGGGGGAGGGTCAGAGGGAGAAGCCGACTCCCTGCCGAGCAGGGAGCCCGATGCGGGACTCGATCCCAGGACTCCAGGATCATGACCTGAGCCGAAGGCAGTCACTTAACCAACTGAGCCACCCAGGCGCCCTATTTTTTTTTTTAAAGATATTTTTTTTTTAAAGATTTTTAATTTATTCATCTGAGAGAGAGAGGGAATGAGAGATAGAGAGCACGAGAGGGAAGAGGGTCAGAGGGAGAAGCAGACTCCCTGCTGAGCAGGGATCCCGATGTGGGACTTGATCCCGGGACTCCAGGATCATGACCTGAGCCGAAGGCAGTCGCTTAACCAACTGAGCCACCCAGGCACCCTGAGCACGGAGTGTTATATGTAAGTGATGAATCACTGAAGTCTACTCCTGAAACCAATATCGCACTGTATGTTAACTAACTAGAATTTAAGTAAAAATTTAAAAAGGGGTACCTGGTTGGCTCAGTCGGTTAAGTGTCTGACTCTTGATTTCGGCTCAGGTCGTGATCTCGGGGGTTGTGGGATCAAACCCATGTCAGGCTCTGTGCTCAGTGCAGAGTCTGCTTGGGTTTCTCTCTCCTCTCCCTGTGCCCCTCCTGCTCGTGCTCTCTCTCTATAAAATAAATGAATAAATCTTCAAAGAAATTTTTTTAAGAAAAGTAAGTGGGTAGTCACTTAAAAAAGAGAGAGAAGGAATCAGCACATTGTTGCTGGGGGAAGGAGTCAGAGCCAAAGAATGTGGGCTGCTTCTAGAAGCTGCAGGAAGCAAGGAGCCATTTCTCCCCCAGAGCTTCCAGGAGGAACCCAGCCCCGCCAACACACTGACATTAGCCCAGTGAGACCAGTTTCAAACTTCTGATCTCCAGAACTGTAAGCGATCAAGCTGGGTTGTTTTAAGACACTAAATCGGTGCCACTTCATCTCAGCATCCATAGGAAACTGATATAGGAAAGTAAAAGGAGGTCTCTGAGACTCTGACGAGTGCCCGGTCCTAAGGAAGCCCTCCCCCCGGGGCGGGGAGGTGCTGCACCGTGCTCCCAGAAGCAGGCCTCCAGTCCTCAGCTGCGCTCTGAGATCTACCGGGGCGCACAGCAGCCTCCGTGAGCTAGATGGGCCTGCCCAGCAGAACGGCCTCCCTCCAGGCAGCCCCAGCCTGCCTGCCTTTGGCCCTGGTGTGAACTGGCAGAGTGTTGGTTAGCCGGTTGAATAAGGAACTGGAACGAAGGCCCTCCTGAGCTCGGAGCTGTGGAGACAGTGGGCCTTCTGGAAGTAAACAAGTGCCCACAGTCTCTTTGTAACGCACCTTTCAGAAGAAGAGCTGGCCACCATTCCTGGAGATTGGATGTGCTTACTGAAAACATATGGTTTGAATTTCCTGCTCTGAATTCTGGAACAGCATGTTCCAGAACCTTTCTTTCCACCTCCTGGGCATTTCTCATTCCTCTTTCAATCTCAGAGAAAGGCCCGTCATGATCGTGTTCTCTTGCAAGAGAAGAGGTCCCGAGCCCTGTCCTGTGAAGTACCTGCTGGGGGGGCGGGGCTGGGGTTGTGCCTCCCAGGTCACCCCAGGAGGGGGGCTCTGACCTTGGTGGTGGATCCCCAGGGGCGGGTGTTATTTGGCTGTTCGTGGATTTCCTGGTCTGGGGGGTTGGCCTGGGGATCTGCATTTTAAGTGGGACCTTGGTGATTCTGATACTGGGGGTCCTTGAGAAACACCGCAACTCTTTACGAAGCCCAAAGGACATGTCTCACCCTCTATGTGCCTTTGGGCTTTGCACACCTGGTGTTGGGCGTGGGTGTGTGAGTGTGTGCGAGTGTGTGCACGTGTGTGTGGAGGTTTAGCAGGCCCTCCCTTGGTACCAGTGCATGTCTGGGGAGAATGCATGTCCCGTCGCCGCCAATTCAATGTTCACTTCGGGACGTACGGTTATTTACCCCTTATTCCTGAAGAAGACAGTGAAGCCCAGACTATCAAGTCAACCTGCCCAGCCGCACCTGCTTATTAGAGATAGAACATGCATTCTAGTCGAGCTGGACTCCTGCATCCGGGCCCCGTTCAGAAGAACCGGAATCTGCAGGCCCCAAGCCTCTCTTTCCGTCCATGGGCTGTGTCATGGGTGCCATATCTAGTCAAAGGTGGGGGCAAGGGGACATGCCTGGAGACACTGGTAATAACCATTTCTGCACTTTGACAAAAACGGAGTTGTGTGAATGGTTTGATGACGTGCATTTAAATATTGTTGTAATCAGATTTTCTCTTTCAACCCTCCCCCCTTTCTCTCTCACCTCTGCCCCCTTCCCTCACTCCCTGCCCCTTTCAAGACTCTCGTGCCCAGCTGCCAGCTCCTCGAAACCCGAAGGTTCGCCTATACAACGCCGAGCAGGTTCTGAGTTGGGAGCCCGGGTCCCTGAGCAATGACACAAGGCCGGTGGTCTACCAGGTGCAGTTCAAATAGTAAGCTGGATCTTTCTGTTGGCATCCTTATGGGGAGTGGCGCGGGGAGCCCATGGGCCAACTGAGATTTCACCACCTCTCACTCACGCGAAGGCTTAGACAGTACTGGTGTCAGAGCCTTGGCTGCCTACCCACAGGGCTTCTTATTTGGACGGGGAGATTGTTCTCACTGGTTTCAGGAGAGGTGTGTAGAAGAGGGCTTCCTGTCTAGAAAGGGCAGGAGGCACCCTGTAGCCTTCATCTTCTTCAAGTTTGAAAATCTGGTTTATCGAACCTTATGGGCCAGATTTGGCCTACTAAGGAAAGTATTCACTTAATTACTACTAATTCTCGATTTCTAAAAGGGGCTTTCCATTTCGCACATTCTTCTGGCCCCTCGTTCTCTCGCTCACCCGCTTTCACAGTTTATCATCACTCGGTGTGCAACAGAAGGCACATAAGGGAAAAAGAAAGGCAGAATCGAAGTCCTCAATTGTTACGTGTTTACCTTGTTACATAGGTTAAGAGAAGACTAAGTTAAAATTATTGGCCAAGTCATTTTATATTACCAGTTACACAAAATTTAAGGAAATGGTAATGCTCAGTGCTTGTAAGAGTGTGGTTGATGGAGATCGTGCTGGGTGAGGATGAGTTACCACAGCCCTCCAAGCAGAGTCATTCGCTGTACAGCTAGAGTCACAGAAATGTCCACGTCACTTTTCCCCTACGCAGGTAATACAAGCCCCCATCAGAAAAAGGAAAAAAGGGGGTCCCCGGGTGGTTCGGTCAGTTAAGCGTCCCGACTCTTGGTTTCAGCTCAGGTCATGATCTCCCAGTTGTGGGATGGAACCCTGAGTCGGGCTCTGTGCTCAGTGCGGAATCTGCTTCAGATTCTCTTTCCCTCTCCCAAAACTCTCACTCTCTCAAATAAATAAATAAAATCTTAAAAAAAAAAAAAAAGGAAAGGAAAAAAAGCCACTGGTATTCGTGAAGATAGACATTGAAGTATAAATTCATGTCCATCAGCAGAAAAATGCCAGATTGTGTCATGTTAACTAGTAGTTGAACATTAGGCAACTATTAAAAAGGATAATGTGGTAGTGGTTGCAATGGTGTCAAATTTGGACCGTATCTGTGGTCAAGACCAGGGAAGGAACCTGGAAAAATTACGGGCACTTAATTTGTAAGAGGAGTGGGTTTCCAGGTGACTTCTTTTTCACCTTTGAATGTCCATTGTAACAACATTTGCTTAATAAAAATCGATTCTAAACCAGGGTTTAGGGGTCATCTCTGGATTACATTTAGCTGTTCCTCAAGTAAGTGCCAATAATCTATAATAAGCGGACCAGTCCACGAGGACCAGCTACATAATTTGTGGGGCCCGGCACAAAATGAAAATGGTGCAAGGCCCCTTGTCCAGAATTACTGAACTTCAAGATGGCGACAGCCGAGCATCAAACTGAGTGCCTCCTCCGAGTGGGGCTTTGTGCCCCTCCATGGGTCACGAGCCCGAGAAGCTGGCCCTACTCAGCATTCAGTAAACATGATGTCGTAGGACTAAACAAGATTTTGGTGACAGGAAGTCACAGCTGATACCCTGACTCGCATCTCTTAGCCTTGAAGGGGGAAGTACATCTCTGGGTCGACAGAGTTCAGGAGATAGTAGAGATATTCCTTGAAGGCTTTGACAGTTTCCTTTCCCAGACTAACATGTTTACTTCGTTTCCCTTTTGGAAAGCATTTTGCAGATGTTTTTTCAGGATAGAGGTTGGTTTTGGTAAAAGAAACAAAGGATGGGGTGAATGTGAACATCCTTCTTTGGAAAGTTGAGGGGTAATGAGAAACTGAAACCGGGGCTGGTCTTGTTTTCTTTTCCAATCGCAGATTTGATGAGAGGAGGGCCTTTGCTCTTGTTTTGTTTTTAGAGACTTTTACATGTTTGGGACATTTTAGCGACATGAAATAATTTCATTTTGAGACTTGTGGGACTTAAAACTTTTCCATCTTGTTTCTCTACAGTAAAGCATTACTGTAATTAGAAATGAAGGTGCCTGTTCTCTGACAGTACAGTAGCCAGAGCCAAAATTACACTGAGCACTGTGGGAAAATTTCAAGTTTAAATCAGGGGTTGCAGAGAGTGTGGCCTTCAGGCTGTGTTTTGAACCCCAGTGTTTAATTTTTTTTTTTCAATTAGTGCCAACATTAAAAAATCTGGAGATTTCATTTTAAGAAAACTTGACCTGACCAGCCCAGTCTTCTGAAAACGTTTTTTTATTTCATTTTATTTTTCTGATTTTAACAGCAACATGTGTTCTTTACAGAAAGGCTAGAACACCCAGAAAAGTAGAAAGAATAAAATTTAAACCACCTAGTGCTCTACAGCCCAAGAATAATCTCTATTCTCCTTCTGGCATATTTCTCTCTAGACTTTTTTCTGAATGCTCGCACTTGGTTTGAAAATGTGCTGGTGTATGCGTAAAAATGAAACAAAACTGGGGTTATGCTTTTGGGCGCTGCTTCCTTTTTTTTTTTTTTTTTCAACCAAACATAGTTAAGTGTATGAGCACTTTTCCTTCTAATGGTCTCTGTGTAAACATTTTTACTGCTCGTTTTATTAGATGATGCATCACACATGATGTATTTAACGCTTCCCCACTTGCGGGTGTAGACGGTCACCAGCTTGGGTCCTCGTACATAAATCATCTGATTGTTTTCTTCATTTGTAGCAGAGGAATTGCTGGGTCAGAGGGGACACTTGCCATTTTTGGAAGTGATCTAACAGAGGCCAAACAGTGAAGTCCATAGTTGCCCAGGTGTGGAACCTGGCACCATTTACATGGTGCTTCCTGGGCACCAGGTCCTGGCTCAGGCACTTTCCTAATGTCGGCTCGTTCAACCTTCATGATCCCTCAGGGAGGCAAATACCATAATTTATCCCCATTTTATAGATAAGGGAGTAAGGAACAGAGAAGCAGGTAACGGGGATTTGAACCCAGGTCATCTGGCTCCAGAGCCCATGTGTTCAACCACCATGCTGTGCTCCCTCTCATGATGAGGGCTGCTTTCAAACTGAAATTCAGGGACAGAGGCAGTCTATGATGGATACATGGTGAGGGGGAGCCCGCGGGACTGTCGGGGTGAGACTCGGCCAGGGCCCGGCCACGACACGAGGCGGAGTCTGGCGGTGGGCGGGGCCGTGCTCGAGGCCAGGGTCACTGAAGTGCGGCCAACATCATCCCCTTATTTACCCCCTTTGCAAAGAGAGGGGGAGGCGGCCTCCAGAATGCAGCTTCCTTTTCCGCTCTTCCCCCTGAAACTGCTGTCATGGGTCAGCTGTCATTTAAATTGGGAGGGTTTGTCCCCCTTTAGACCCCTTTGTGGAGAAATATTGTTCAAAAGCAGTTCTGAGACAGGGCCAAGGGTGGAGGAGAGGGGAGGGTGGGGGAGAGGAGTGGTCCATTCCCTGGTAAGTCGGGAAATGAGCCTTTGAAATGTGGGGAGCCTTTTGCCCAAGTTCAACAGCTGGGATCTGCAGGGGAGAAGGTTAGAGTATCTCTAAGTATCTGTATAACTTTTTAAAGATCACTTACCCCTTCTGAAGCACACCCCCAATCTAAGACGGGGGTGCTTGTGCTCAGGGATCCCCCTCCCCAGTAGGGTCTGGCCCCCGGGGCTTGGTGGTAATGTGAGTATGGCAGCATCTTCCACGGAAGCCGTGGCCACGCATCTTGAAGTGGCCTTCATCTTGCCACTGGCCACTTTGACAGAGGAGTCTCCAGTCAGGGTCAAAGGCACCCTTAGAAGTGTGGTGTGTGAGAGCTGGTGGCAGTGATCCCCAGCCTCGTCTCTTCTGTCTCCCCTGGCCTTGCTTTCTAGGCCAGAGCTGCTGTGGGGTGCATAGCCTGTCTCTACAGAGCACACAGCCTACTGCCCCCCATTGAGGTCTCTAGCAGCCACCTCCCTGGTTTTTCTCAAGTCTGTCACCTAAGCACAGAGGTTAGAGCTGGAGAGTAGAGTCCCATGTGGGGGTGTGGCATTAGGACTCTGGGGAATGCATTGTCATTTACAAGAATATGTGGCCTCATATTTAGCAGGGTTTTCATATGGGTGATGCAAACTTTAAATGGGCATCTGTGGTATAAAATGAACTCCACACTAGCAGGAAGCATCAGTGGGGTTTGTATGAACACGGTATCTTTCCTAAGACGTCGGCTACAGAGGCTGAGTTTGAAGAATTAAAATCAGTTGCAGGACTGAATGGGAAAAATCTGATAAGAGACTTGCATCCAGAGTATATAAAGAACTCTTACAACTCAACAATTAAAAGACAACCCAATTAAAATAGAGAAAGGGTTTGAGTAGACAGTTCTCCAAAGAAGATATACAAATGGCCAATAAATACATAAAAAGATACCCAACATCAATATTCATCAAAGAAATGCAAATTTAAAACCACAGTGATATACCACAGCACAGCCACTAGGATGGCCATATAAAAAAAAAAAGGCATAATGACAAGTGTTGGTGAGGATGTGGAGAAATTGGAACCCTCATACATTGCAGCTGGGAATGTAAAATGGTGCAGCCACTTTGGAAGACAGTTTAAAATAAGAGTTAGACCCATCAGTTCCACTCCTAGGTATTTACCCCAGAGAATTGAAAAGTTACGTCCACAAAGAAACTCGCGTGTGAATATTTCTTAGTGTTACGCACAACAGCGAAAAAGTGGGAACAACCAACATGTCCATAAACAGGTGCACAGAGAAACGATATGTACTATAAGTGTATGCTGGCATCGTATTTGGCCATCAGAAGGGATGACATACTGATGCTACAATATGCCACATCATGCCTGAAAACACGCCAGGTGGAAAGAGCCAATCAGAAAAGACCATGCTGTTTACGAGCCCGTTTATAAGAAATGTCCAGAGGAGGCAAAACCGTAGAAACTGAAAGTAGATGATTAATGGTTGCCCAGGGCTTAGGGGGTTAGGGCACAGTGGGAAGTGAGTGCTAATAGGTACGGGGTTTCTTTGGGGGAATGATAAAAACGCCCTAAAATTGATCCTGGTGATGGCTGCACAACGCTTCGAATCTGTACACTTTAACTGGGGTGGATTCTCTGGTCTGCAAATTGTATCACAGGGAAGCTGCTTTTTAAAAAATCAGCTCTGGGGAAACCGTTGGATGTGGCAGAAGAGAGAAGTCCGTGAAGTAAAAGCCTTTTTTCCTTTGCAGCCCCTCTGACAGTAGGTGGTACGACACCAGCGACATAGGTGTGCACTGTATGAACGTCACCACGACGGAGTGTAACTTCACCCCAAGCAGCCTCTCAAATGGTTTCCCACCACATTTCAACGTCTCTTTACGTGTCCGAGCTAAGTTGGAGGACCTGGTTTCCCCATGGCTGTCAGTGCCTTGGTTCCTGTACTATTGGAATGGTAAGAGAACTTGGCTATAAAACTTCCTTTATCATTTAGGCTTTCTTCACTTTACTCCTCACTGAGAAGTATGGATTCCATGCACCCCAGTCCTGTCTCTGACCCCGCATAGCCAGCAAACAGGTGGGTATGATGGTCAAACCCCAGGACTGAGCATGGAGGCTGGCGCTAGAGGAGTGTGATTTGCTAGACCAGGGGCTGGCAAACCACAGCCCGTGGGCCACATCCGGCCCACCAACCTGTTCTTGTAAATAAAGTTTTATTAGAACACAATTTCACCGTCTTTTAATAATGTATGGTCTATGGATGCTTTCACGCTACAGCAGTAGAGTTGAACAGTTGCAACAGGGATTGTCTGGCCCGCGAAGCCTAATTTACTAGGGCACTTTACCAAAAAAGCTTGCTGACCTCTGGGCTGGATGGGACACTAGCATATTGGCTTCAGTGATCCCCCTCATCTCTTCTGGCACAACTTCCTTTATGTTCAAGAAAGACTTTCATTCAGCCTTGAACAGTGCCTGGCACAGAGTGGATATGTCGTAAAGCTTGGTTGAATGAGCACATGTGCTCCCAGAAATCGGAAGAGGGCATAAGAATCGACAGATACTAGTTTGTACATTCGCTCCTTCCATGAGTCATGTCTCACATGGTCAGCTGTGTCCCAGGTTTCTTCAGTGTGGTTTAAGCAAACGAAGTATGGGATCCGGACTCAAACAGAAACAGAGGTGGAAGACAGGGAGGAAGTTGGGTCACTGTCTAGCTATTTGATGATCTAGTAGTAAGCAATTATTGTTAGTTTATCTCAGGTGTTATCATGGTATTTTATGTTTTTAAAAGCGGGGATTCTATCCTTTAGAGACACGTACTGGAGTTTTTACATGAAATGATGTGATATTTGGGATTTGTTCAAAATAATCCAGAGTGGGAGGGCTGAGGGCAAGAGGGATGAGAGGAACAAAATTGGCCATGACCTGATGGTGGGTACATGCTGGGTGACGAGGGCGTGCGTTGTTGTCTTGATCCGACCTCTCCTTCCTACGTGTTTGAGGCAATTGTTTGCAAGAGGAAGCTAGGAAGAAAAATCAACAGTTTGTGCCAGATGATGTGGGGATGGAAAGAGAAGACAGCACAGTCCCCTTGAGCTGGGCATTTACTGCAGACAAGTCATCTGTCCTTGCGCAGAGAACCAGCACACATCTGAGCTATGAAATGTCACCTAGGTGGGAATTAGTTAAGAAAGAAAGAGAAAGTAATGGTGGTTCCCATGGCCTGGCCTGGGAGAAAAGGAACGGGAATGGAAGCAGGGCCTGTTGTGGAAGTCGTTGGTCCGGTCCCAGGCAACGGCGGCCCCCTGTCCTCCCAGCCTGAGCTGGGCAGCAGTGTTCCCAGGTGGCTCCCGGCTCACTTGTAAAGTTGGATATCCTCAGACCCCATCACTGTGTCCAGCACTTGTGCAGTTGGAGTGCATAACCAACACGAGGACATCACGTCGACCTAGGTTCAAATCCCAGCTCTGCCCCTTACTGGCTAGGACTCTGGGCCACTGTGATCACCTCTAGGCTTCTGTTTCTCCCTGTGGGAAACGAAGATGACCTTCTTGTTGCCTGGTTTACAATAAGAGCTTAGTCCGTGGAAGCTGTTATCAAGTTATCTACAGGTAATTGAAACTCCCTTCAATGTGTTGAGAGAAGGCGGGTTGTTTCCCCCTCGAGAGACAGGCTCATTCCCCCTCAAAAAGTGCTTCATTGATCGAAAAGGGCTAAGAGCTGCAAGCATTTATTCACACTGTACACCAGACCCAAGAAACCCGTATCCTAACTTCTTGGCACCTGTCACTTGGTACCAGATCCTGGATCCAGAACTCTCAGAAGGGCAGGTCTGTCCGCACAGACCTTCCGGGGACAAAGTGACTGGTCACGGCCGACACCCTAGCTTCCAGGCCCATTCCCATGTGTAAGTCACAGAAAAGTCTATAGAGAACATGTCCTACAGAGGCGAGAAGCCTGAGGCAGGCGGCCCGACCCTGCTGGTCAGCATCTGCGAACAGGGTTCACAAAATCTTCTGGCCACTTGCAGCTAATCCGCTAACGTGGTTCCGGCTGGTGGGGGGGCCAGGCCGGCCCGGTCTCTGTCTAGACGTAGTTCCTCCACCACAGCCCATGAGACCGCAGGGCATGTCTGCAAACCCTGCAGGGGCCAGTTCCTTTCTCACAGAATAGGGTGGCCCAACCAGATGCCAGAGCCTGGCCCAGCCCGGGGGAGCCCGGGCGAGAGCGCGGAAGGCATGAACAGTCATGAACACACAACTGTTCACAGTGATCCGATCGCCTGCACGGGCAAACGGTGCATGAACGGGCCTCTCAGAACTCGTGGGACCCAAGCTATACTCAGTCTGAAGTGCTTGTTTTCATACATGCTGGAACCCTTCATTTAATGCACTTCATGACTCACAGTCCTTGGTTGTCCCGTGAACTCTATGAAAAGCTTCAACAAGCAGGCTTCCGACGGCAACATCTCTCTGGTACTATATTTGAACATAGTCTGACAATAAGCTGGGAGACATGGATTTAAAGGTTGATAAATACCACTTTTGTTCATTTATAAAGAAATTATAAGAATGTATATTAAAAATAAATACAAAGGAGATAGGTGGTAGGTAAGGGTAACAAAATCCTGTCCCCTTCTGCATGAAAATCTGATCTTCGGTTAACCTAGTTGTTTCTCTGGAAACCTGGTCAAGGTGGCTGTCAGCTATGTTCCTAGGCAGCGTCACTTATGGCAAAATGAGCCCTGATTGATAAACTGCACCTCCCTTGGGGCCATCTCAAATACCTGTTAGGGAGCCATGTCTTTGCTGAGTGCAGCAATTGTTGTAACTGTACATGTCCCTCACGGGGACTCTAGAAACTCTTCCTGTTATCGTAACAGATACTGGCTCTTGGGGCTTTTAAGCCTGGGAGGCTCCTGTACTGGCCTGTTGTGGGTCTTACTCTGCCAGGGTCCTGGGGTGGGGGTGGGGGGGGCGGGCGGACAGACTGGCTCTGGGCCACCACGGGGACGCCTGCCACCGAAGATGAGAAGCCCCTGGTGCCGCACCGTGGTCCCGCTGGTCTTCCTGCCCCGTGGCCTTCCACGTGAAGGTTGTGCCCAGAGCAGTCTCTGGGAGTTTTGTGTGCCTGAATGCAATCTCATTGTATTTTGTGTGTGTGTGTGTGTGTGTGTGTGTGTGTGTGTGAGTGTGTGTACACACTATATGTAAAATTATGTGTGAGAGGAGAAAACAGGATGAAATCAGAGAGGGAGACAAACCATAAGAGACTCAACTCTAGGAAACAAACTGAGGGCTGCTGGAGGGGAGAGGGGTGGGGGGTGGGGTAACTGGGTGTTGGGCATTCAGGAGGGCACATGACGTAATGAGCACTGGGTGTTACATGCAACTGATGAATCACTGACCTCTACCTCTGAAACTAGTGATACACTATATTTTAATTAACTGAATTTAAATTAAAAAATAAGATTATATGTTGTATGTATGTGTATATATTTACATGTATGTTTTGTGTTTGTGTTCGTTACTCTATTTCAGTTACCGTTGGACCTCCTGAGAACGTCTGGGTGACCCCGGGAGAAGGCTCCCTGATCATCAGATTCTCCTCTCCCTTCGACATCCCTGCCTCCCTGGCCACTTTTGTGTACTATGTCCATTACTGGGAAAAGGCAGGAGTCCAAAAGGCAAGAGCATTTTTCTACTTTGTGTTGATTTTCTGATACAGCAAAAGGAAGTAAACTGGAAACTGGACAAGGAAGACAGAGCCTCCCAGTGTTGCCTTAGTCTGAGCCCCGAATCGGGTTTAATCCTTCCCTTCAAGACCCGAGCTTCTGCTCCCTATGCTGAGCCTTCCCTTCTGCCAGGTGGCTCTGAACTCCCCTCTCTGACTGAAAGCACGCCATTCCCGTTGTTTGGGGTGCGCACGGAGCCCCTGGGGCCCTCTAACGGCTGGAGAAGGTTCTAGAGGGCCTGTTTCTACAACAAGGAATCCACCCCTGCAGTCCGCAAGGTTTATATAAATTACTCCGGTTTGAGTGATTTGTAAAGAAAGCATGTGTGAACAGGTGAAAAGTCTACTGGGAGGAGAGAGACCCTCCTAGGGAAGAGGGCGGAGGGCGTGGGAAGGTTCGGGATGTCTGGGGGACTGCAAGCGCTCGGGTCAGGCAGGAATGCAGGAGGGGCTGAGGTGCATGAGACCAGCAGGCCCTGGTCAGCCCTACATAATACGAGGGAAGGTGCTGGCCTTCAGTCCTCTGCAGTGCCTGATTATCCATGTTGCGTATCATGAAGTTTTATTATCAATGTAAGCTTCAGGGTTTCCTAAACTCAACAGTATTATAACCGTTTTTTGTTTGTTTTCCAGTTTTATTGTGATATAACTGACATTCATCATTGTATAAGTTTAAGGTGATTAGAGTCTTTTTATAATAATAAGAGCTGATGTTTATCGAGAGCTTTCTTTGTGTTGGGCCCCGGGGCCAGGCATTTTAGATACATCATCTCATTTAATCTTTGTACCGAGCCGTGTCACAGAGAAGGGAACCAACTGGTTGAGTAAGTTGCCCAAGGTCAGCAGCTGACAGCCAGCACATCTGAGCCCAGAGTCCATGCTCCGCAGTTTTTCTTTTCTTTTTTTTTTTTTTAAGATTTTATTTATTTATTTGTCAGAAAAAGAGAGAGAGCACAAGCAGGGGGAGGAGCAGAAGGCGAGGGAGACGCAGACTCCCCACTGAGCAGGGAGCCCCACATGGGGCTCGATCCCAGGACCCTGGTAACGCTCAACTGACTGAGCCGCCCAGGCCTTCCCATGCTCTGCAGATCTTCTCCCACATAGTTTATATGTGTACTTCCTACTCATTTCTTTATGGTGAATCTTAAAACATTGAGGAAGGCAAAATTCACTGAACAGTAGACTCTTATGGGGAAAAAGAAACCAACCATTTCCCCAAAGGAAGAGGTCAAGGTCTGGTCAACTGGAATAGAGAAGGCCTGGAAGATTCCAGAAGGGATTCCCCTTTACCCCATTCTACCAGAGCAGCTATACTTTGGACTTCTGTGAACAAAAGATGCTAGGGCTCAGATGAGTCTGAGAGCCTCCAAAATATCCATTCCAGCTAAGATTGTCCGTGTCCCCAAGACCAGCCCCTGGATTTGCTGGAAGGACCCACGGGACTTGGCATATGGTTGTATTCATGGCTATGGTTTATTACAGAAGAAGGGCACAAAGCAAAATCAGCAAGGGGAAGAGGCACATGGGCCAAACTCCAGAGGAAGCCGGATACAAGCTTCCAAGAACCTTCTCCCAAAAGACTCAGACAGGACACACTTAATTCTTCCAACAACCAACTGTGACAACATATGAAATGTCTACCAGGGAAGCTTATCAGAGACTCAGTGCCCAGGGGTTTTACTGGAAATACAGGCCTCTTCTCCCTAGCACAGTTCAAAATTCCAGACTCCTAGAAGGAGAGCGGGTGTTCAGCATAGAAAACATTGTTTTTACCATAAGCCGCCGATATTTGTTAGGGAATGGTGAGGACATTTCTGGATTCCAAGTTCCCAGATGCCAGCTATGGTTAGCCTTGCAAGCAGGCCCCCCAAGGACAGCGGTCTCTGCAGTCCGTGATTCTAAATTCTAGAAATGCCAACCGGCGACTGAAATAAACCCCGAAGGAAGTTTGTACTTAAAATTGCTTCATGTGGTGGGGCGCCTGGCTAGCGTAGTCGGTTGGTTAGGTGCTGGACTCTTAGTTTGGGCTCAGGTCATGATCTCCGGGTTGTGATCTCTGGGTCATGGGCTTGAGCCCTAGTAGGGCTCCACACTCAGCGGGGAATCTGCTTGAGATTCTCTCCCTCGCCCTCCGCCCCTCCCCCACCACACTTACTGTCTCTCAAATAAATAAATAAAAAATAAGTGTTTTTTAAAATTGCTTTATGTGGCATCCCGAGCAAAAATTTTTCTCTTCTGCCCTGGCAGTCCATCACCATTAAACCGAAAGGAAAAAAAAATCTATGATCCTACTGTTCCTAAGTAATGTGATTATTTTACATCTTTAAAAATAAGATGCTCTCTACATACTATTGAATAATCTGCCCGTTTTCAGCCAGCACTATCGCAGCTTCATCTCCATGTTGCTGAGCATATGTTATACCACCATTTCAAATGACTGCAGTGTTTCCTACTACATCTCAAAATAGGAAAGCAAGCCCCTTATAAGAAGTCCTATACTGCCATCATGTATCTTTCCCTCCTTTGGGAAAGGAGGGACAATAGCGACTTTGTCCAGCAGAGTGAGAAGCCATTGCCTAGAGGGATCCAGATTGGGGGGGGTGGGGGTTGACGAGGCCTGAGGGAGGCAGCAGCAGGGACAGGCCAAGGGGAAGAGACAGAATCCTCAAGAATCTGGGATCCAACTGTGTCCCGATTACATAACTCACAAAGATCATGTTGACCAAAACTGTGTAAGAGGCATCAGCACATTTCAGTTAAAACTAAAAGCAGACTCGGAACTAAAGGAACATTATTTCCCATGATGATTTTTTTTTCTCTGTTCGTTGACTAGCTTGAAGTATCTAGACTACATTAACTGTGAAGTACAAAATAGTGATACAAAGTAAACGCACTGGGCATTGAAGCAATTTTTTTTTTTTAAAGATTTTATTTGTGTATGTATGTATTTTAGAGAGAGAGAGGGAGCGTGCAGGGGGGAGGGAGAGGGATGAGCAGACTCCCCACTGAGCATGACGCGGGGCTCAATCTCACCACCCTGAGATCATGACCTGAGCTGAAACCAAGAGTCGGACGCTTAACTGACTGAGCCACACAGGCGCCCCATTGAAGGAGAAAAGTCCATCCCAGACATTGGGGTTCGCTAAATTCCAGTGGCAGACGTTCTGTGGCTACAGTGGGCCCTCTGAGGCCTCACAGCCAGAAACACAGCTCTAAAGTCATCAGCGTCTTTCTCCACACGGTTCACCAGCTTTCACACATAAAATGTGTGAAACAGCATCTCTCTCTTCTTTGGTGATGGAAACGTCGGAAAAGCTAGAAGTGGCTCAGCCACGTCTCTTTGGGTCATTTTCACATGTGCCTGTTGGCGTTTTTTACGTAGGTTAAAGGTCCCTTCAGGAGCAACTCCATTGTGTTGGATGACTTGAAACCCTTAAGAGAATACTGTTTACAAGTGAAGGCGCATCTGGTTTGGACATACTACAACAACATCTCCAGACCGGGACATTTAAGCAATATATCTTGCTACAAAACAACAATGGATGGTAACATATGCTTTCTTATGTCCTTTCTGAGCTGGGACAAGAATCCTCCCCAAGTAGTGAAACCCGGGCTGGCTTACGAGGTGGAGGGTGGTGGGAGGGGGGCGACCCAGAGGGAAGGCACGAGAAGCCAGCACTCAAGTAGGTCTGACCAGCTCATGCTGAGATCTACAGCAATAACACTGCCAGACAGCTAACACAGCTTGATTTTAGGATTGCTTGTACTAGTTATGCACTCGAGCACGGGAGGCGGGGCGGAGGAGGGACAGTATGTACCCATCTCACAAGGACATGGACACTATCTGAGCAGTTGGCAGGTGAAGAGTGACCCGTGTTTGTATCGTGTGTGGGATGGGTCTCTTGTTCACTCTCGTGTCCTCTTTTTAAGCCGCTACCAAGCTTCAACAAGTCATCATCATCGCCGTGGGTATCTTTCTGTTGCTGTCGGCGCTGGCGGGGGCCTGTTTCTTCCTGGTCCTGAAATACAAAGGCCTGGTAAAATATTGGTTTCACTCTCCGCCAAGCATCCCATCACAAATCAAAGAGGTACGTGTGCACATATCCAGTGGGTGACGTGTCAGCCCTCCGTGACCCCCTGGTAATGCCTAGGAGTGTGGCAGTGGACAAAGCCGTGGACACAGAGTGGAGTTAAGAGTGGTACAGGGCAGGGGCGCCTGGGTGGCTCAGTCGGTTGAGTGTCCGACTCTTGATCTCTGCTCAGGTCTTGGTCTCAGGCTGGTGAGTTTGAGCCCTGCCTTGGGCTCCCTGCTGGGTGTGGAGCCTACTTAAAAAAGTGGTACGGAGTTATTTGGACACCCCTGTTCATAGCAACATTATTCACAACAGCCAAACGCTGGAAGCAACCTCAGTTTCTGTCAGTCGATGAATGGATAAACAAAATGTGGTCTATCCACACAATGGAATGTTACTCAGCCATAAAAAGGAAGGAGGTTCTGACTCACGCAACAACATGGGTGAACCTTGAGGATATCATGCTAGGTGAAATAAGCCAGTCACAGAACGACAAATGCTGTGTGATGCCACTTACATGAGGTACTTAGAGGAGTCAGATTCACAGAGCCTGAAAGTAGAGTGGTGGGTGCCGGGGTCTGGGTGGGGAGAGGGAAATGGGGAGTTAGCGTTTAATGGGGACAGAGTTCTAGTTTTGCACAATTAGAACAGTTCTGGAGATGGTGGTGAGGGTTGTATAACCGTGTGAATGTATTTTATACCATTTAAAACTGGTTAAGATGAAAATTCTATGTTATGTGTATTTTACCGCAACTTAAAACAATTTTTTTAATGGCATGAGGTTGGTGAAAAAGGTGGCCTGGCTTGGCCAAGATTAGCAGCGTGTGAGACTTGCGCCTTGTGGAGAGAGCCCCCAAGACGCCTGGCAGAGGGTGGGAAGGCGGTGAAGCCAGGGCTCTAGGCATGAGCTGTGCACTTAGAAGGATTCTAGAGTAAACGCACCCACGGCTGTGAGTACAGAGCCTTCCCCACAGAGAGCTCACCGAATGTCACTGGTATTTTGAAAGACCTGAGGAAGATGGGTGGACCGGGTCTCGTGGGAAGTTGATTTCCTGCACAGCAACCCCCCCCTCCCCGGCTCTGTGCAGTGGCCAAGCCCTCCGAGGAGCCTATGGAAGATTATTTAAAGGTATTTGTTTCTGGAGGCTTATTAGCAGTAAAATCGGGGTAAAGATACTGGAAACAGAATCTTACTCTGTTGCATCTAGAAGGAACAGGTGTTAGATAAGGTCCAAGTCTATAGAGAAAGAGTAGTGCTTCTAGAAATAGAGCTGGAGAGGTATTTAAAGTACCCAGACATAACGCAAATTACATGTGAATTTCCCCACTAGAAAACTCCAGACAGATACTGCATGATTGGACTTACATGAGGCATCTAGAATAGTCCACCTCCTAGAAGCAGGAGTCGAATGTGGTTGCCGGGGGCCAGGGGAGAGGGACCCAGGGAGATGCTGTTCAACGGGTATGAAGTTCCAGTTACGCAGGATGAGTAAGTTCTGGAGATCTGCTGTGCATCATCATGCCTATAGTTAGTACTGCACTGTGCCCTTAAAAATTCGTTAAGAGGGTAGTTACCACAAAAAAACAAAAACAAAAAAACCCTTCCCTGGTTAATACTTCACACAGTTACAGCCCTCACTGGGTCTCAGAATCTTACTTGCACGATCTCTCTCTCACGAAGAACCACCAGCAGGTCCCAATGAAGTGTATTTACTACTAGCTGGTCCTTGGGGGCGTGGTCTAAAACAGAGTCTTTCGGTTCACTTTCCTGGGAAAGTGTGAAAAATAGACATCAAAGGGCACTGAAGTTACACAAGAATAATGAATCAGGTTTTGCTTATATTTCTGAGGTTTCAGAAGTACACATAATTGGTTTATGTCCCTCTTGTCATCAGTCAGCTCAGCTCACTGCGCATTCCGGTGTCTCTCGGCATATCTGGGAGTGAGGCGGGAGTTTCTCGGTCCCTCAGCAGTGAAGGGATGGCTCAGCCTGGAACAGAGGCTGGAGGGAAGGGGCAGGCGGGGCGCCCTGAGGCCCCCTCCGCACTCCTTGCTTCTCTCCTGGGTGTGTGTTTGTGTGAGGTGGAAGCAACTGGTGGGTGGAGGGCCTGAGGAGAACACTGGCGACCTTTCCCTCCTTTCCCCCATGAGGGGTGACCTGGAAGCCCCTCATCGTCCCTCGCTGGAAAGTCAGAATTCCATAGCCACTTGGGGAAGAACGGTCCCCAAGCCTGCACCAAGGGCAGGAAGTCACAACATGCTTGTCCCTGAGGTATGGTGTGCCCTGGGCTGGCCCTTGGGTCTCATTGAGGTTACTGCTGACGTGAGGGGTGTTCTCATTTGGCAGGTTGTTTCGGGGGTGGTCAGAGGAGGCAGGCACCCCTGAGTAAGACAGGACCGTGCCGTAAACGTCAAGCAGAAGGGCTGCTGTGTTGCCGTAATAAACTAATGACACTCTTGGTTTTCGACCTTTTCAAGTATTTAAAGGACCCGAGCCAGCCTATCTTAGAGGCCCTGGATAAGGACACGTTGCCAACGGATGATGCCTGGGACTCTGTGTCCATTGTTTCGTTTCCAGAGAAGGAGCAAGAAGACGTTCCCCAAAGCACTTGGACCCAAGACTCTGGTCCGGTCTGCCAGCCTGTGGGACAAGAGCTCTGAGTCGAGGAGGCTGCTGATGGTCCTGGCAGGACTCTCTGGAGCCCAGCATTCCATATTCCTGTCCCCAAAAGGCCCATCAGTGCCTGGGAAGACGTAACGGGTCTCATGGGGGCGACAAGCCTAATTTTTTTAAAAGAGTTTTCTAATCATACACGTTTCCAGAATGATTCTACAGAGATAGCCCCGAAAGATTTAAGATTTCTCTTAAACACTAAAAAGACATGTAATTATTTGTTAGCAAAACAGCTCTGGCATGCCTCTGATGCTTTGTTCATCGGCAGCCAGGACACGGGGTCCCCTCCTTGACGCAGCCCTGCGGGCAGATCACGTCACCTGTCCCAGCCTGTCCCAAGAAGGGACATTAAGTGGCCCTTCTTCATATCCAGTCACCCGGCTTAAACTGTGATTCGTCCTGTAAATAGTTTCCTAGTGATTTAAGCCTTTTTTTCTTTTCAAGCTAGGAATAAAAGACTGTAATTAACTTTTAAAAAGTCAATGTGAAGTTTCTGCTTTCCACTTCACTTTCTTTATTTTGGCCTTCTTTATCTTCTGCAAAGTTCCAACTGTTTAAAATTCCTCTTTCTAAATTTGTGTTTTCTTTGTTTTTGTTTTTTTTTAATTTTATTTATTTCTTTGACAGAGAGAGACACAGCGAGAGAGGGAACCACAAGCAGGGGGCGTGGGAGAGGGAGAAGCAGGCTTCCTGCCGAGCAGGGACCCTGACGCTCTGGGCTCAATCCCAGGACCCTGGGATCATGACCTGAGCCAAAGGCAGATGCTTAACAGACTGAGCCACCCAGATGCCCCTACATTTCTGTTTTCTTTCTTTCCTTTTTTTAAGATTTTATTTGACAGAGAGAGACACAGCGAGAGAGGGAACACAGGCAAGGGGAGTGGGAGAGGGAGAAGCAGGCTTCCCGCTGAGCACAGAGCCCGATGGTGGGGCTCCATCCCAGGACCCTGGGATCACGACCTGAGCTGAAGGCAGACGCTTAACGACTGAGCCACCCAGGCGCCCCAACATTTCTGTTTTCTTAAGAAACCCCCGGTAGAGCTCCCACGGCCTCATGGTCACTCAGTGAGAACTGTCTCCGTGCGTCCCTCGATTCCTTAGGAAGGTATAAAGGGCACTTTCAGAAGCTGCATGAGCATGTCACCTGTGATGACTCGTGTATTGACCAAGACGGGCTTGTAGCAGTAAAGAGAATTCGCTAACCGTCAATGGTGATGATACCCACTGTGTATGATCGTGTAAGTATTGATTAAGTATTGACAGGTTCTTTGGTTCAAAGGCTTTGGATTAAAAATCCATTTCTATGACTCTTAGCATTTAGGAAATGGATGCGTAGCCACATGTCCCCTCCCCCAACACACACACACACACACACACACACACACACACACACACACACACCCCAAGTGATATACTCACTGTATCACTCAGGGTCTGCTTTACAAAGAAGCCCCTCTGGCAGCAAAACCTCACTGGGAAGAGAAGGCAGTGACTAGGAATAAGAAGCTTCTAGCACTCTTTGATGGGACCACCTCTCTCTCATTTGGGGCCTGTGCCACTGGGGAGGAATTGGCCCTGGGGCTGACCTTCTAAGCAAGCACTGTGTGTTTGGCTGTCCAGAGTGACAAGAGATAAAAGGACCCCACCCACAGCCCCCACGCCATGCAAGTCCTCTTGGGAGAGATCCACTTTATTAGGTGCACCTTCGTCGGGACCAGTTTAGAGGAAGAGCTAGTAGGTGGAGACTGTGAACCCATACCTCAGATCCTTCAAGGGATTTAAGAGAGAAGAGCTTCCTCTTTGGGGCCGTGGGGTGAAGGTAGGGTAGGAGGACACGCACATAGGCAGCAGAAAGCAGGCTAAGAGTTTGAGCCCAAAAGAGAGGGGGGCAGATCAGTTCTGCTAAAAAGTAAGCACCTACATGTCCCCCTGGGTAGAAGGGAGTTAGTTCCAGTGGTCCGGGGACCAGATTCTGATAAGGCTGAACTGGCTTCAGGGCAGAGTCGGTCCAGTGGCTTGGAGCAGGAGTTCACTGCGGTCCAGGCCCAGAAAGGCCCTTCTCAGTTGAAGGCAGCGGCTGAAGTCCATGACAGACTCAGAGGTCGAGCCCGGAGCCAGCACTGCTCCCAGGGGCCTGCCTGGGGCCAGGCTGGCCAACATTACTGAGTTAGAGGGGAGAGGGTGCCAATAACACCAAACCCGCTTCACCATCCTAACTCGGTAAACACCCCAAGGAGGCGTGGGGCTGGCCTATGATCCAGGGGGAGAAGGACAGCAATTAGCTGAGGAATTCTCCTTTTCTAAATATCTTCCCCCAAAAGCACCTAGTTCTACTTTGTAAAATGAAGGGCTAGTCAATGAAATTCATACTTACACTAACTTCGGACTTCAGTTTCTAGTCAAGCTAAGTACCTAACCATAAAATGAGTCAGAAGCAATCTTATCAATCATTTACAACAGGGCAAACTGCAAGCCATTCAGCAAAACCAGCCTGCTTCCCCCCCCCCCCCGCCCCGTCTTTGAAGCTAAAAGTAGTTTCTACACCTTTAAATGGTGGGGGGGAGATGAAAAGAATAGTATTTCATCACACATGAAAAGGACATGGAATTTAAATTTCATTGGGGCCCAGGGATGCTCACTCATGGCTGTACCATCGCTGGCTGATTTTGCACTGCTCAGCAGAACTGAGGAGGCCTACGGAGCCTAAAATATTTACTGTGTGCCCCTTTACCAAGAGTGTTTGATGCCCCTTGATCTCTACAATGAACTGTTTGCTAGACAGGAGAAAAACAGACCCATTCCCATTATTTAAGTGTATGCAAAGTCCCTGCAAGAAGCCACGTGACGCTGAGATGCTCTCACTCGGGACTTACATTCAGGGCTCATTATCCCGGAGGAAAGGGATTTAATTCTTGCATGTACTCCACAAAGCTCCTTGCGGACTATGTCCTAGAGCCGGCCGGAGGCGGAGTTCAGGGGCACGCAGGTCACTGTGGTTGCCAGGGGGCCCTCTACCAAGAATAGGGTCCCCAGAGATGATGGATTCGTTGGAACAAGGCCACCTGTGGCCTATATTTGTGTGAATTAGACATGCGACTTGCAAGACTTTCTGCTTTCAAGCGCCACGGATTTTCTAAGTAAACCCAAGTGTCTGGGGTTCCTGCGCTGTACATAGCGCCCCCTGGGGGCCCCACGGTGCCCGGCCGCGCAGATTGCCGCCAGATCCTCGGGGCGGTGCTGAGCCCCATGGGGTGAGGAGCCCTGGGGATGGGGGTGGGGAAGGGAGGCCCACCTCCAACAAGCAGGAATTGGAGGCAGGAGGCGCAGAGGGAGAACACTCTGTATCTGTAGGACACGGGCTAATGCACTGGAGAAATGACCACTGCCAGGTCACCCAGCAATCGCCAGTGTGGGAACAGCTCAGTCCCTAGCTGGTGCTTGGGGCATCCGCCTTTATGACTCTTGTTTCACTTACAATCACTTATTTCTGTCCTTAGTGGTTTTGTGGTTGTTTTTTAAGATTTTATTTATTTGAGAGAGAGCGAGTACAGTGGGGGGCAGAGACAGAGGGAGAGAGAAAGAGAAGCAGGCTCCCCGCTGAGCAGGGAGCCCTATATGGGTAGGGCTTGATCCCAAGACCCCGGGATCATGACCTGAGCCGAAGGCAGGTGCTTAACCGACTGAGCCACCCAGGCGCCCCTGTAAGTGTAGTTTTTTTAGAGAAGACCTAAACCCTTGAAGAGCTAGTGAGCCCAGGTAGGACCCCGAGGTCCTTGTGAATGGGCAGGTATAAGGGCTGGCATACAATTCAATGAATCAATTACAACATTATGTTTGTTAACTAGTTTCTTTCTGAAATGTTGCTGTGAACCTTCGTATGACTGTGTGTCCCTCCAGGGTCCCCCAAACACTTCTCAAGTGGCCAGCCCCACGCCAATGACTATGTACCACAGTCAAGGTCATATATACACCTGCAGGGGTTGCGCAGTGCACAACCCCAGCAGTGCCATGTACATACACAGAACACAAATGTACACAGCACATATTAATAATCCTGATTTGTAAGCCCCTGAAGTTCCAAAAATACATTCGGCTCCTCCGAGACTTGGAATTTTCTCATGAAAGACTGTCAAAATAATGCTGAGGTTTCCGTGTTAACCTGCAAAATCAGATTTAAAACTTAGTATACACCAGGGGTGCCTGGGTGGCTCAGTCATTAAGCGTCTGCCTTCTGCTCAGGTCATGATCCGAGGGTCCTGAGATCGAGCCCCGCATCGGGCTCCCTGCTCAGCAGAAAGCCTGCTTCTCCCTCTTCCTCTGCCCCTCCCCCTGCTTGTGTTCTCTCTCAAATAAATAAATAAAATCTTTAAAAATAAATAAATAAAACTTAGTATACACCAAATGCCACCAGTAGACTTTAGATGGTAACGGGCATTTCTTTCTACTGTTTTCCAGACATTTTCTATGAGGATGTTCCTTTTTATAATGAAATACTATCACAAATTTCATACACAATGAAAGTTCAGGGCTCTGGCCTGAGAGAAACTAGGATGTAAGGGACGGAAAACTAGCAGATTTCAGGATGCGGCTGGATCCCCTTCTTCTCTCGACAGCCCCACCTCCGCATCTGGGTTTATCTACAAGCGGATGAGAAGCGTTTATATATGTAAGGGAAGGATTATAATTTGCTACACACAAATGTATATCCCATCTGCCGTGTCCCAAGGCCCCTACTTTCATTTGACTCCGCACAATGCTGTTAGTAAACAAATCGGAGTTTGTTCTATTTATTAAGTTAATCAGTCGCTGTCCGCACAGGGTACCTAAGTGAATTACAAAGGAGAAAAATAGAGCAGCTAGACACTACCTCGAGCAGGCAGTTTCAATGGTTGCTGATAGGAGTACTGAAACATAACAAACGTGGGTTTTGTGGTATTCCTGCCAAAAAACGCGTAACCTATAATGGTCAGGGAACATCACACAAACTTAAATTGAGGGGCATTCTACAAAACAACGAAGTGGTCTGCAGTCTTCAAAAATGCTGTCATGAAAGACAAAGGCTGAAGAATCATTCAAGCCGAGAGCCCTTCAGGGGACACACAAGCAAAGAGCACTGTGTGTTCAGGGATTGGATTCTACAACAGGAAAACACTTGTTTTCCTTTACTATGAAGCACCTACCAGGGGCACTTGGCAACATTTGGATACAGTGCTTAGTGCTGTATTAAGGTTACCCTCCTGACCTTGGTATTGTGTATACAGCAGTTAGGACTTGGAGAAATGTACACAGAAATATTCAAGGGTGGAAAAAGCATCACACCTGCAGCATATTGTCATATATCTCAGAAAAAAAAATAGACTAAAGCAAATGTGGTAAAATGTTTATATTCGTAGAATCTGAAGGTTGTATAGGAATTCTCTGAGTTGGGGCGCCTGGGTGGCTCAGTCGGTTAAGCCTCTGCCTTCGGCTCAGATCATGATCCTCAGGGTCCTGGGATTGAGCCCCGCGTCGGGCTCCCTGCTGAGCCGGGAGCCTGCTTCTCCTTCTCCCACTCCTCCTGTTGGTGTGCTCTCTCTCAAATAAATAAAACCTTTTTTAAATTTTTAAGAAAAAATAGGAGCGGGCGCCTGGGTGGCTCAGATGGTTAAGCATCTGCCTTCTGCTCAGGTCATGATCCCAGGGTCCTGGGATCGAGCCCCACATCGGGCTCCTGGCTCAGCAGGGAGCCTGCTTCTCCCTCTGCCTCTCCCTGCTCATGCTCTCTCTCTCTCTCTCTCTCTCTCTGTGTGTCTCAAGTGAATAAATAAAATCTTTAAAAAAATTTTAAGAAAAAATAAATTCACAACTTTCAGAATGGAGGGAAATACACTTAACATTATCCTAACACTTTTTGGCACTTGGAATAGATGCTCCCAAATCAAAGACTGGTGCTCTCTGCATCATCCCTGAGGGTCCGGAAGGCCCCTGCCACACCTACTTGTAGAAATTTAAAATACTTTGAAGAGGCATAGATTGTATCATCCGAAAACCCAACGTAAAATGACATAAGCTGTGTTTAAGCTGCTGCAAAGACGAAACCACAGGCAGGCTAGAAAGAAAAAACAAAACAGCGGCCTCCCAACGGTTTTTCTTTAAAGGTGGCACGCCACCTTGTGCCAGGAGGCAAAAAAAGCCATCGAAAGAGGAAGGAAACGTCCCTGCCTTCAGGCAAAGCCCTCCAGGAGAAATAAGGACCCGC